AGACTCAGAGGTCTCTTTCAGAGACTCATAAGAGACCAACAAACATCATAGCAGGTTTGAAAGCATAAATAACATGTTTGAGAAAAGCTTCGGAATTTAAGCAAGTTCAGCAGAGAGAATAAGTGATGTAAACTTAAGAACAATAAAGGAAGCATGCTTAGAACTCAAACAAAGTTAGGTAAAGCAAACAAAATTTAAGAACTCAGTAGGAAGCACGTACAGTAGAAAAATACTGAAAATATAGCAAAGAACAGATAGAAGAACATAACAAAGATTAACATGCGAGCGTAGTCTAAAGGCACAATAGAATACAAAGATAGAAGAATCGTGTATAGTTGGAAGAAAACAGAAGAACAACACATGAGTGGTAGAGAAGGAAAACACACGAGCATAATATAGACAAACACACATAAAGAAAAGAATCAGAAAGATGTTTTGAAAACCTTTCAGAAACCCTAAATCGAAGAGAAACAATTTTGAAAGAAAAGATTGGGAAAAACACTTAAAAAATCCAGTAGAACACAAATATATCACAGATCTAAGAAAACAAACAAAGAAAAACCTCGAATAGCTTAGGATTTTGGAGAAACCCTAGAAATGAGAAAGGCTCGGAAGAAACTCCGATCTGGAGTCGGATAAGGTGGGAAATAGGCTCCTAATGCTTGAATACGCCTGAGCATAGCCGGAGAGGCCATAGAACCATAGATCTAAGAAGGTCTGAAAGAGAATCATCGAGGTCAGACCTCAAAGCTTCGAACACCCATGGTCTAATGGTGGAGGGGGGTAAGTACAGACCATCCATGGCCTGAGAAGCCATGGATTCCGATGAAAGTACGGTGGAAAAGGGTCGGAGACGGTTAGGGTTCCTTCGAGAGAATTTTGGGAGTAGAGAGTAATCAAGGGCGGCGGACTAAACGAAATGGGGGGATTAGGGAGGGGTTGGTGAATTAAAATGGAAAGGGGTGATCCTGGCCGTTGATCAAAATGATCAACGGCCTGGATTGAAAAAAAACCGGGCGGGTTAAACAAATGGGTTAAGGGGTTGGGTAAAATTGGAATTGGGCCGGTCCAATTGGGGTTAGGATTGGGTCCATTTGTGGGCTAAAATTGAAATGAAATAGGCTGTAATTGCAAAGAAATGAGGCTAAATGTTAAATAGCCAGTTTTCCCTTTTTTTTATAAAAATAGTAAAAATGATTTTAAAAGCAAATTAAAAGTACTGAGTCAGTTAATAACATATAAATATTAATTTAAAAATACTGGAACCAATTTTTATAATTAAAATGCTATTAAACTTAAAATAGGCTAGAATTGCAATTATATGCAATTTAGCTTTAAAATACCAAATAAATTTGTAAAAAATGTATAAAAAATTACCTTAACTATTTTTTGTATAAACATGAGATAAAATAGATTATTCACCAAAACTGAGGATTTTGGGAATAATTACTGATTTTGTACTGCTAAAATGGACAATAAATTGATTTTAAAAATCTTTAAAAAGTTGGAAAAAAATACTAAAATCCTTAGGCATGCTTATATATGCATATATATGTTATTTTGAAAGTATTTGTTATATGTTAAAATATGCAGGGAAAATTTGGGTATCAACAATCGTGGTTCTTCTTCCCAGGGTGGTGCTAATAAGCCATCTTCTTCTAGGCCTAGGGCTCCTTTAACTCCTAGATCTTCTTCTAGGAATAGAGATTTAAAAAATCGTGTGCGTGAACCCACAGTTGCAGAGATTGTTCCTCAAGAATTTTCTTTTGTAACTGATAGTGAAACCATAGGGAATCAAATTTCTTATATAGCCTCCCTCAATCCTGCTGACCTTTATTCGAGTTTAATCACTATCGGTCTTCTTTCCCAGGTTCAACGAGAGTGTTATTGGAAATCGGCTTTCCCAACTTTAGTCCGTGGTGCCAACCAGAGAATTACTTCTTATCATGCTGGTTTTTCTTTTGTTTATCCTACCCTTTCACTTTAGGGTTCAAACCACCTATTGACCTAGTAATCATTGAGTTCTGTCGTTACTTCAACGTGTGTCTTGGCCAGATTGGCCCCATAGTATGGAGGGTTATTGCATGCCTTCGTTATTTATCAGATCAGGTTTCCATGCCTTTCACTTTTCGGCACTTGCTTCATCTCTACTCCCCCAAACTATTTCGCGAAGGTGTCTTTACTCTTGTGGCTAGAAGTAAGAGAGTATTGGTTAGCCCTGAAGACGATTCATTTTGATGTTGCTCCCACTAGTGAATTAGTAGGTGAAGAAAACATGTCTTTCCCAGAGAAATGTAACTTTGCACGTAAGCTTTCTTTTTCTCTTTTTTTTTTCTTTTATATCTTAAAAAACTCCGTGTAATCATATACCCATTTTTCAGCAACAATGAAAGTTTTTGATGAAATTCCCAACTTCCGTGCTTGGGTAGAAAATATGTTAACTACTGCTCCTATGGATAAAAGATCCTGGAAATACCTTTCTCAAAGATTTTATTGAAAGTAAAGACGCACGGTACTTTTTACTTTCATTGTTTTTCCTTTTCTCTTCCTTGTTTGTTCAAGAATTTCTCATCCTTCCTTTTTTTTATTAGGGTTTCCTATTCGTGGCATTAGTCCCGCATCTTTTCCATCAATCAGGCTTTTTGTGAGTCTTGCCTAGGAAAGAATTTTAAGTGCTTCTTCTTCAAAAAGGAAAATTGACAGAGCCCGTGGCTCTGATGACGAAGAAAAATAGATGAGGGTTTTTTGGTACGAAGGCCACGCGTCAGGAGACGTGTGGTTTGTGATGATGAAACTACTCCTTCTCATGACCCTCCATCAAGTTCAATCCCTTTTAGACTCACGGATGAGCTAGAGAGTGCCCCTTTAGTGATTTCTGATGAAGATGCTGTTGATCCTCACTCAGGTTCCGTTGATAGATTGTTTGCTCATGGCTTCGAGGGTGATGAAGCTTTTGGGCCTGTTTCTGAAGAATTACCCTTTGCTTCCCTTCCAGTTTCAGTTTCCATTAACCCTCTCGTATCCTTACCTGATGCTACTCCTATTGTTATTCCCGTGGCTGCTTCTACTCCATCCGCTATTCCTGTGACTGCTTCTCATGGAGAGGCCGAACATTCTAGCAGCAGGAGAGCAATGAAAAGAGTTGTTGTTGAGGTTCCTAAAGGTGGGAACTTATTAAGAAAATCTGGTCAAGCCGACGTGTAGTTGAAACTTCATCTAGGCCCCGTAGACAAGAAGAAGTTAGAAGGCCACAACTCACTGACTTTAATGAATGATATCGTTCATTCTTCATTGAAGGTATAAGCTTAATTATATTTCCTTTCTTTTTTCTTTCTTATTCATAACTCTTCCTTTTTTTTGCAGATCCGCTTGATTGGAACAGTTATGAAAAGAGTTTCTCAGGCGAACCAGTAAGTTATAGATTTGTGCACCGAAGCTAATAACTAGAAGGAACAATTCGAAGGTCTTCAACTATAAAAAGAAGTTCTGGCAGAAGAGAAGAATGCCTTGGAACAACAGATGAGAATGATTGCCGCTGAATTAGCAATTGAAAAAGCTTCTTCTAGCCAGGTTGGAGAGGATAAGGATATACTTGAATCCTCCTTTGCTAAAAACATTTCCAAGGCAACTGAAGAAATGAAGAGTTTGAAGGAACTCCTTAATCAAAAAGAGGTTTATGCGGGAGAAGTGGTTCAAACACTTACTCAAGTTCAGGAAGATCTTGGCACCTCTACTGATAAGATTCAATTCCTGGAAAGTTCTCTCGCTCCTTTGAAGATAGCTTTCGATGCCTCTGAAGTAGAAAAGAAGAGCTGAGAGCTGAGATTGACCAGTGGGAGAAGGATTATGAGATTCTCGAGGATAAGCTATCGTTGGATGTGAGTTGGGCTTTCTTAAACACTCGCCTCGAGACTCTACTTGAAGCCAACCAGGAAGGGTTTTGACCTTAATGCTGAGATTGCTAAGGCTAAAGAAGAAATTGATAAAACTCAGCAATGTCAAAGTTTTTCCTCACTTGAAGACGAAGGTCCCGAGGGTGATGGAGATGGACTTGTTCCTGGGTGGGATGATGTTCAAGCCTCTTCTTCTCAAGTTGATCCTTAATTTTTCTCTTGCTTTTTCTTTTTGTTACCTTTCTCTTAGCTTAACAAATTTTTGGAAGGTTGTATTTTGGTTACCCCTGGCTTCTTTTGGGGTTTTTATATATATATATATATATATATATATATATATGAGTTGCTTTTACCGTTTATTCTGCTCTTTGATATTTGGGATTTGTCCTTGCATTTAAAAATTCCTTAAGAATCCGTGACACTGATGAAGATGACGTCTCAACTTCATATTGGTGTAAATATATGAAAGACGAAATAGACATGAAAAAAGAAATAATTTGAGGAAGTTTTATGTTTTAAACTTTCAACTAAATTTCGTACATCATTTTCATAATTAGTCGTACAACACTTTCATAACTGCTTTCTTTGTGGCAGAATTTAAGATACAAAATCGGGTCTATTATCTCGTGTCTAAATTTTGGCCTTAACTTAAAACTCGTAGGATCATGGAATGTAACTTGTATCCTTTTCACGAGTTCACACCTTTCCAAGGTTTCTTCAAGGTATTTGATTCAGGCTTTTTGCTTCCTTGGCTTTTTGCTTTTTCTATATGCATAGTCCCCCTAGTGTTAGGGCTTTGAAGTATGAAATCTCGGACACTGGATTACTCCTTCCTTTCAGTCCATTCCTTGAAAAGGAAAATACAAACGGGACTCGGAGATACACATTTAGATGATGACTGCATAATCCCTTTTTCCATTAGAAAGGTTGCAACCTAGACCGGGAATAATGTAGTATTCCGCGTGTCTTTCGGGTCTAATATCATCATCTGGTACGAGCAAGCTTTTTGCCTATCATCTAAAAATGTTAGTTAAATTCAAAAGAACAAAATAAAATCGTTGTGATACCTGCCCATGGGTACTTCCTTCGTCTAGAAGTAATACTTCTTCAGATGAACAACTTCCAGTTTGATGGTAATATCTTGCCATCCATGGCTTCCAACTCATATGCTCCCTTTCCAGTGATACCTCGAACCCTATAAGAGCCTTCCCAATTCGGACTTAACTTTCCCGCATTAGACGCTTTTGTTAATTGAAGCACCTTTTTGAGGACAAAGTCCCAAATCTTGAAGTATCTTGGATTAGCTTTCCTTTTGTAATATCGCTCAATTATCTGTTTTTGAGTCGCCATTCTTATTAATGCTGCTTCTCTCCTTTCTTCTAGTAAATCCAAATTCATTCGCATCTTTTCCTTATTTGACTCCTCAATTACATGTGTGTATCTTGTACTTGGTTCACCTATTTCTACCGAAATTAAGGCTTCAGTGCCATAGACAAGTGAAAATGGAGTCTCGCCTGTACTCGTTTTTGGTGTCGTTCGATAAGCCCACAATACCCCTGGTAACACTTCTGGCCATTTGCTTTTTGATTCATCTAATCTCTTATTTAAGTTATTAATAATAACTTTGTTGTTGACCCAGCTTGCCCATTGGCTACAGGATGGTAAGGTGCGGATGTAATCTGTTTAATCTGCCAACTCTGAAAGAATTTTGTGATTTTCATGCCTATGAACTGTGGGCCATTGTCACACACGATTTTTGTTGGAACTCCAAACCGGTAGATAATGTTTCGTCAAATAAAGTCCCTGACTTCTTTTTCTCGCACCTATTTGAAAGCTCCTGCTTCTACCCATTTTAAAAAATAATCTGTTAATACTAATAGAAACCGTACCTTTCCTTTAGCTTGAGGTAACGGACCTACGATATCCATGCCCCATTTCATGAAAGGCCATGGCAAAATAACTGAATGTTACAGTTCTGTTAGGCAGTGCATGTTATTGCCATATCGTTGACACTTATCGCACCTGGCTACAAAGTTTTCCGCTTCTTCTTCCATTTTTGGCCAATAGTATTCTGCTCTTATTAAAGTTTTTACCAATGATCTCCTCCCAGCGTGATTGTCTCAGTGCCCCTCATGTACTTCCCTCATCACATATTCCGTTTGTGAAGGTTTGAGACACCGTGCTAAAGGTCCACCGAACATCTTTCAGTATAAGTTTCCACGAATTAAATAATACCGGGCGGCTTTTTGGCGAAGTAACCGTGACTTCTTCTTGTCTTCAGATAAAATTCCGTAGGGCAAAAAGGTAACAAATTTGTTTCTCCAATCCCAAGTTAGATTATTAAAATTTACCTCATTCTTGTCTTGGTCCACTGCCGAATGAAACAAATGTATTATAATAGCATTTTCTGCATTTGTTATTTCTGCAAGATACGAGATTGGCCAACGTATCTGCTTATGCATTCTCCTCCCTGGGTATTTGTACGGCCTTCCACGACTGAAATTGTCTGAGTAATTCCCCTACCTTTTCTAGGTATTGTTGCATTCGTGGCTCTCTTGCTATATAAGTCCCCTGCATCTGGTTAACTACTAGTTGTGATTCACTTTTGATCACAATCTGTTCCATACCAAGTTCTCGTGCTAGTTCCAAACCTGCAATCACAGCTTTGCACTCTGCTTCATTGTTAGTGATGGGATAACATTTTATTGTTTATCTTATGACTTCCCCTGAAGGTGGATTTAGAACAATTCCTAAGCCCGTTCCCTTAATAATCGAAGAACCATCGGTAAATAAAGTCCAAGTCCTCGGATTAGATCCAGTAAATACCTGTAGTTCCTTTTCTGCTTCAGGAACTAAATTTGTGCGAAAATCTGCTAAAACCTATGACTTTATTATAATTCTGGGCTGATATATGATATCATACTCACTGAGTTCTATTGCCCATTTCGCTAACCTACCAGATATTTCTTGTTTATGCCAGGGGGAAGGAAGTTATTACATAGATGGGATGACATTGAAAATAAGGTCTCAACTTTCTAGATGCTAAAGCAAGCTTTTCTAAGTGAGGATATCGTGTCTCACCATCTAGCAAAGATTTACTAACATAATAAATTAAAGATTGTTTACCTTTATCCTCTCGTACCAACACTGCGCTTATCGCTACTTCCAACACGACAAGATAAATAAGCAGCCTTTCTCCGTCTTTTGGTTTGGCTAGCAGGGACGGATTTGACAAATATGTTTTTAGGTCTTTGAGGGCTTGTTGGCATTCATCAGTCCATTCAAATTGATTTTTCTTTTTCAATACTGAAAAGAATTTAAAAGTCTTTTATGAAGACTTTGAAATAAACCTCCCCAAGGCTTTTATTCTTCTTGTTAATCTCTGCAACTTCTTTTTTGCTCGTGTGTACATCCGATATTTCTTCAATAGCTTTGATTTGTGTAGGATTCACCTCAATACCTTTGTTAGAAACAAGAAAGCCTAAAAACTTACCTGAAGCCTTGCCAAAAGCACATTTTTCTGGATTTAGCTTCATGTTGTATTTGCGGAGAATTTCGAAAGTGTCTGGCAGGTGTTGAAAATGATCTCCCGCTTGTGCTGACATGACTAGCATATTATTGATGTAGACTTCCATAGTCTTTCCCAGATGTTCTTGGAACATCTTAGTCACCAATCTTTGGTATGTGGCTCCAGCATTTTTTAGACTAAATGGCATGACTTTGTAACAGTAAGTCCCCCTGTCTGTGATAAACGAAGTTTTTTCTTCATCTGCTGGATCCATCTTTATTTTGTTATAACTTGAATATGCATCGAAAAAACTTAACAACTCATGTCCTGCGGTAGAATCAATGAGTTGATCTATATGCGGCAAAGGAAACGACACTTTAGGATAAGCTTTATTTAAATCAGTATAATCTACACAAACTCGCCATTTCCCATTCTTTTTTGGAACTCCACAGTATTAGCTAGCCAGTTAGGATATTTTACCTCTCGTATTGACCCAATATTTAAAAGCTTTTGTACCTCGTCTTGGATTACTTGATTTTAGAAGGATCCCTGCTTCCTTTTCTTCTGCTTGACAGGTGTATAATACGGGTCCTCATTTAGTTTGTGGGTCATCACCTCCGGTAGTATACCTGTCATATCTGAGTGTGACCAAGCAAAGCAATATGCATTAGCTTTTAAAAAATCAATTAACTTACCTTTTATTTTCGAGCTTAGATTTGCTCCGATGTAAACTTTTTTGTCTGGCCAGTGTATAAATAGCACTACAACTTCGAGATCTTCAGTAGTTGTCTTGATGTTTTCATTTTGTTTTGGCTCTTGAATAACATCGGGTCTTGAATCAACATCCGTCTGTCCTGGAATGCCTTTAGTGGTGGTTTGTATTACTACATCCTCAATTGAGTTCTATAGTTGCTATTTTTCGTTTGCAAGATCGTTCACTGTGCTTGTAGCCACCACTGAATTGATACTTCTAGATGCCTGTTGATCTTCTCGGATTTGTCAAATCCCCTATTGTGAATGAAATTTAATAACTTGATGCAATGTGGATGGTACAACATCCATATCGTGAATCTACGGTCTTCCTAGAATTTTATTTTAAATCATGTCTGCATCTATCACCTGGAACTTTGTATCCTTGGTAACTCCCTCTGCAAACGTGGTAAGAACCACTTCCCTTTTGTGCTAACGCTTGAATTATTAAATCCAAACAAAGATCGTGCCTTTAGTATCACCTTGTCGTTAGCTTGCATTTCATTCACCACCCTTAGTAGAATGATATTCACGGAGCTACCTGGGTCAATAAAAACTCATTTAACGTTAGTATCGTGTACAAGTAGAGATATTACCAGTGCATCATTATGAGAAATTATCAAGCTGTCTGCATCTTCAACATCAAATGTTATACTGTCCCCATCCAAGGCTTGTCGAACTCGCTTTCCATGAGTGACCATGAATTTTGATATCTTTTTTGCAGCTGTATATGTCACACCATTGACCTCATTTCCCCCGGTTATTACATTGACTATTCTTTTTGGAGACGGGGTTTTCGGGGGTTCTTGTATATTCTTCATATATGACTGTCTCCCTTTCTCGCTGAACAGGTCAGTTAGATAACCTTGCTTCAACAAATGCTCGACTTCTCACTGGAGTAACCTACATTCTGATGTTCTGTGGCCATGATCATTGTGAAATTCACACCAAAAATCTGGATTCCTTTTGTTCGGATCTAACCTCATTTCTTTAGGCCACCGAACCTTATCTCCCATACTTCTTAGAGCAGCTACTAACTTGGGGGTACTGACATTAAAACTATAATCTCTGATTGTCGTATGTGTACTAGAGTCGTTGCCTCGTGCATCCTGTACCTTTCTGAAACTGGATGAGGACCTCGTATCCTTTTGCCTTGATCTCGATTCAGATCGTATGTTTCTTGTTTAAACCAAGAATCACGCCCTGCAGGTCCCATGTAAGGCTCGTACCTATTATTTCGGTCATTTTTTTCTGATTCTAAACGTCTTGATCCTGCTCTGTCATCAACCCTTGGCTGAGTAATCGTATCTTCTGCTATCCGCAGCTTCGTACTGTACATGTTATATACATCGTTCCAAGTTGTTGTTGGAAATTCTCGCAAACTTTCCTTCAGCCTCTTCGTGGCTTCTAAACTTTTCCCGTTCAAATTGCTTGCAAATGCCATAGCTGCCCAGTTGTCAGGTACTCGTGGTAACATCATCTTCTCCCGTTGGAATCTATCCACAAACTCCTTGAGTAATTCTGTATTCCTTGTTTTACCTTAAAGATGTCTTTCATCATTTTTTCAACTTTTTCTGAGCTCCCTAATGTGCTTTTATGAATGAATCTGCAAACTCAGCAAACGAATCAATAGAGTTTTCAGGTAACAGAGAATACCACGTTAATGCGCCTTTCGTGAGTGTTTCACCAAATATTTTAACCAAAACTGATTCGATTTCCCACGTGACCTCGAGGGTTAGTTGTTCCATCATATTTTGGAATATCAGGAATTTTAAACATTTTAGGAATCGGCAAAGGTGATGCGCTTGGCTTCTAGGGCTGTTGTGAATATTTATCATTATCTACCCCTTTAATCACGGGCGGTACGCCAGGTATTTGTTCTAAGCGATCATTTTGCTCTTTCAACTTTTTCTCCAAAGTTTGTACCAAACTTTATAAATCAGAATTATTTGGTGTACTTGACCTTCCATCAGAAGATTTGTTGGGAATTCCTCCACCCCCAGAATTGTTGAGCCCCTAGCGTTGGTTTTCTAGGGTTGTGGTATTGACTGGTGGAGGAGTTTGCCGTGCAGTTGGCAATCCCCTAACAAAGGCTTGAAGATCATTGTTCACATGTTCTGCAATTAATTGCTTTAGAGCATCATGTTCGACGGTTTGTTCGTCCCCTTGTTGATCATTCACATGTGACGTAGATCTTTGGGGTGATCCCTCACGAGACTATTGAGGAGATCCTTGGCGGAGAGAGGAGTGGTGGAGTTGCTCCCTTATGTAGCTTCAGCTGGTTATTATCGTTAACAGTTGACATAGTTGGTTGTCAAAAAGAAGAATTTGGAAAGTGAAAAGATTATCAGATATCCGGTAACGGAACCAATTTGTTTAACCGAAAAATAAAAGTTTCAGTCAAAGCCTATATTTAGAAGAAAAGTGTTGTTGATAATCAAATTTTACTTCACTTCCACAAAAATCTATTTTGAAAATAGTAAAAATTATAAAGAGAATTAACAAAGAGAAATAAGGAATAAATCGACAGTCAATCCCTAAATCAAGGTTGAAAACTTTGATAAAGTAGAGATTTATAGAATGTAATTCAGTAGTACTTGGAACTTGTCCTTACAATTAAAATTCTTTAGGAGCGTACAATCATAACGTTTTCCACACTTAATTCGAATCCATTATAGCATTATTTGTATTGATTGCTGGTTATCATAGGTAACCATAACTGACGTATTTATAGCTATCAAGGCCTTATAATGGCTCCGATTCCCCTTCCTTATTTACTTCTAGTTCGTGTATCTTCCCCTTTTTTGACCTTTATTCATTCCATTCTCACCTCTTCTTTGACAACTGTCAGACCCGATCCCCTGTTCGGTACTGTTTTGTGAGTGTTTCTCCCGTACCTTCCTTGTATTCTTAATTCTGTTAATTAAGAGCGCCACTTGTTGCTATGCCATTGTTCCACGTGTCATGCTTCGTCAGTGTACTAACATTCCACGTGTAATGTCTTTTTTCCACCAATACAACGGCGTAAATATTCTTTACACAATGTCTATCAGTTAAATTCACTTACTTTTACTTTCAAGAGTAACTCTTGCGTTATGTATGCAGGGGCGGATGTAGAGTTTCGCCGCTGGGTTCATCTGAACGCAGTATTTTCGACATGGGGTATAAATTTATGCGTAAAAATTTATTAAAATTGCAACAAATGGTAGGTCTGAACTCATAACTTTAGAAATACAATGGATTGAATTTTAAAAATCTTAAATATTGAATACATAGAATCTAAATCCTGAATCCGCCTCTATATATGTATGTGGTGCAATTTTCTAAAATGTGGAAGACGGGCTTCTCACGTAATCTCTTGATTTTCTGTGTCAGCAAATTCTCGTGTTAGAAAACAGCAAGTGTCTACGGGTCTTTATTTTGTTGTGGAACAACTTTGCCAAGGTAAGAAAATTTCTGTGTGGAAAAACCGGTGCAAATCTTGTTTGAATAGTATATTTCCATTGACAAGTGCCTTTCAAATTTTATTTTTCTGAAAACACTCATTATTAATACATGGGCCAAGAAAGCCCCTAGGCCCACATGGCTAAAATAAAGGAATATTTTTATAAAAAGCCGATCAGATTTATAGTTTAATTTTCCTAGTCAGTATAAATAAACTATACAACAATTATACATGTATCATATGAACTATATATATATATATATATATATATATATGTATATATATATATATATATATTTTAACTTGTTTACCCTTAAAAATTGGTAACAATTGAATTTATACGCAATTTTAAGGACATGTGTACTAATTTAATACAAGTTATCAATAACGTTAAATAACTGAATTAAAGATAGAATTAATGACCAAACCAGTTGTGATGTTAGGTTTGAGCTCGGGTCCGAACTTAGTGATTGGTCTACCCTCGGTTTGAAACCAAATACTTAGTGATTGGTCTCCCCTCCATTCGAATCCAAATACTTATGAAGGACTATGAGCAAAATAAGAACTTTGAAAAACCTTAGAAGCAGAGAAAAACAAACGTATATTGCCTTGATATGCATGTTACAATGTGTCTGTTGAACAATAAACCTTCTCTTTATATAGTAGCGGAGTTTTACCATAAGTACAATTCTAAGAAAGGTAAAAATCTTTTTTTTCGTTAATCACTGATCCGTTATCGATATGAGCCGAGATCCACGCCGTGATATTCGGTTGGGCGCGGATATCACGGCCCTTCATTAGTCATGTACAACTATCTGGTTGTGCCTTCCGAGATCCTGGAGTCCATACCAGATTCGGGGGGTGGGTGGGTGGGGAGGGGGGAGCGTTGTCTCGATGGTCCTGGTGGTAAGCGCTTCGTTCAGGCCTTAGTA